GGGGTTGTGGGGGAGGGGGGGAAGCAAAAGAGAGAATCTCGTTAACAGCGGGGTTGTTAGTTCTGTAATAATTGACGTTCAATGTAACAAAATGTGAACGCGAGTCTGTGAATTTGAGAAATTTCCTTTTTCTTTCGTTCTGTTTCATCAATATTCTGCCCCGAATCCAGCTTTTTGGCGATACTGACGCAAAGTGGTTCAAAATGTTTTACATGATAACCATAACTGTTAACAGAAGAGAGAAAAAGAAAATTGTTCTCAGTATTTTTAGTGACATATATATACTCCTGCTTTCCAGGTGGCCAAGGTACAACATGGAGCAAAGATTATCCATGTTGGTGACATTACGCAAATCTCTAGAGATAAGGTGTGTGCATTTTATATTTGTTAATATTGGGCTTTGCATCTTTCTTTTTGTCTGTCTAGTGTTTCATTTGAGTGTTCTTTGAATTTTTTGTTTCTTTGGTTTTGTTTGATTCTGTTTTGATTCTGAGAGACTTTGCTAGGTTTTGCTCATTTTAGTATCCATATGTGATGTTGTAAGGTTGAAGAACTTGGACCATTTGACTTTGTGTTTGGAGGAAGTCCGTGTAATGATCTATCCATTGCAAACCCAGTGAGACGAGGAATTTGTGGTAAGTTGAGAGAATTAACGGTTCTTTGAAAGGTATACTGCAGCATGCTGCCCTTGTATTATTTGAACAGTGTCTTTCTACTTAATTTAAGTCCAGCTTGACAAATCACAAGAAACGTTTCAGATACATGTGTATTGAAAATTTCGGACCCCAGGGAACTTAAGGCGTTACACAACAAATGTTACATCATAAGGTGTTAAACCTTTGGCCTGTAAGAGTCACTAGCATCTAAATTCTCCTTACAATATCACCCCTGAATTACACATTAAGGTCAGGAGAATAACGGAAATGATCTTCAACTACAGAAGCTGTTGATTGTTGAACAAATTCTCCTTGTCAGCACCTTAAGAAATGTACAGCGAACCGTATGGAGAATATGCATTCTGATGTTAGAGTGTAAAGGGTTAAGATAAAGTGTTTGTTCATTTTCGTGTGTTGAAATAGTCACCATCCTGCTTGCAAGTTAAATGTATGCTGCTTCTTTTATTTTCACCTAGAGGGAACTGGCCGTCTTTTCTTCGACTTTTTTCGCCTCCTTCAGTTCGTGCGGCCTAATTCAGATATGGAGCGACCTTTCTTTTGGCTTTTTGAAAATGTCGTTGGCATGAGAGCGGATGACAAGAAGATTATTTCAAGATTTCTAGAGGTGAGACATTGTTTACGTTGTTTAACTGTGCACGCATGACAGGTTTTAAAATTTGTTCTTTTCGTTTCGGTAAAAGGTCGACTTTGTGAAATACTCTATTAAACAAGCTGAAACCCCTAGTGATCTAAGGTTAATCATGGAAGGTTTTCTAAGCCGACTTAGCTAAGGCACTATGATTCCGAATCAAGTGTTATTACTCAATCCTCACCAATGTGCAATCACCAATCATTGCTGAGGAACTTCTCTGGCTGTCTCGGTTTGACAGTAGTTCAAATTAAATACAATCATCAAGCAGAATTTTGTTTCTCGATGGCAGTGTAATCCCGTAGTAGTGGACGCCAAAGAGATCTCTCCTGCTCACAGAGCTCGTTATTTCTGGGGAAATCTGCCCGGAATGAACAGGTAATTGTTATGTTCTGTGGCTTTTTTTATACTGTACTTTTTCATGCGGTCTTCAGTGTTGATTCAAACTTATCCGAATTTTAGAGGATAGGTCTTACTTTATGTGGAGAAACTGAAGAAACGATAGTCATAGTATTATACTCATTGACTCCGGTCTATCGCCTAAACCACAACACATTCCTTTTTACAATAGAATACAGTTTTGACTTGAGAGTCCAAATTTGCGGTGTTTGAGGCTTGCTCGACTCGCTTGCGAGAATAGCTGCTTTGGCGGGCGCTTCGTGTCTTACCAGCCGTGGTTTGATGTTAGAAAAATATATTTCTGTTCTCACCTTGAATAATTCTTGGAAGCAATTGTCCTTGCTATAAAAAACAGCGTTCATTCAGAAACTTTTATCATATGTTACGTGCATGGTACCTGATTCTTGCTATTTATACTGTAATGATTTTAAAATCGAAATAGTCTATTAGTCATGGGGCCGGAGGAGAGTTCAACAAAGATCGGCATGTTTAATTGGAAGTTTTTCACACAAGAACTGAGTACTCTAAACGTCTACATGTAATTAGAAGAAACACTCGCCTACCTGAAAGATCAGCGTATACAGTATTACTAAAAGATACCTGCGTAATCGTACAAAGAAATTTCGCAATAGTGTAACAGATAAAGTATGACATACGCCAGTCAAATATTGATATGTTTGGTATGTAGGCAGTGAAGTGTAAGGCTCTTTTATCGAGCTCTTTGTTAGATGAGTAAAAAAATCCAAAATTATTGCACCTCAGATAAAGTGACAAAACTTGAATTGAAGGTAACGGAGCAGTTCGAAATGTATGCCTCAAGTTTCTATTAGACTTGACACATTTGTTCACGACATTGGTAGCTTCTATAAGAGATACACATTCAACACTCTGGCTGTAAATGATTCTGAGCAAGGAACACGTGGCTCACTCCGCTTCTGGGAAGGACAACAGCCCTTCAGTAGGGAACCGGAGTAATTACGGAGGGAACTTGTTCGGTGTGCAAACCCACAGTTTCGTCACAAGTGCATCAGATAACTACCATCATGTAAAACGTATTCATTGATGAAGAAGTCAACAAGGTAGTTAGTGAATAAACATTAAGCTGAGGTACAATGTTTGGTGCGTACGTTTGTGATTTTGGTTTCATAGGCCAACAGTTCCTTTACCCGGTGACAAGCTTTGCTTGCAAGATTGTCTTGAAGCAAACTGTGGAAGGCAAGCCAAGGTAAGGCACCAACCACCACATGATATTTGTAAATTGTGCGTGTTTCAACAACAGCATCAACAAACTTTTATTGCTCATAAAAAGTGGTAGTAGAATGAAACACGAAAATTGTTGTATGATTAACAAGTAAAATTAAAAGAAGCATAGTTTGATAATGGTAGAACTTAAAGGCAAGAGGAACCGCGGAGTTTTCGAGCAAGCCCTTGTTCCTTTTAAAGTCAGTTTTAAAATAATAATAATAATAATAATAATAATGATAGTGATAATGATAATAATAATAATAATTGTAATAATAATGATAATAATAAATATATCTCGCCCGTAGGGCGAGTCAAAATACAAACAACAAGTAAAAATACTCAGCGATACTACACAACAAAACGTCTAATGAGTTATTTATTATCCAACACGCCAAATTGTTATTTCAGTGCGGGCGAATTTCGTGGATATTTATTTGCGGGGAGTGCGTGACAGAAGTATGCAAAGCGGAACGGAATTGGCGCTTTGTCGTGTTACTGTCTCTATTTTCTTCAATAAATGAAGAAATTTCCTGGTTGTCTAACTGTTTTTCTCCGTTCGATTCATCAAATAAACCTGGATCCATATTTGCGAGCCATTCCGAATCTTCGTCGGCGGAAATATGATTCAAATTGTCCGCCATTTTTGTTTTAGTAACTTCAATCCAGTTCTTTGCTTGCGCGATGCGAGAAAACCTGTCTAACCGGTTCTCTGGAGTACAAATACCGCATGATATTTATACTCGTCTATGGCGTTATTTGTACTCTACGGAGTGTAGTTGGATAATAAAAGTAACAAAAGACATTCAGGTAGAGGGGCTGTAAATTTATCGAACTGACAGAAGTATGCAAAGCGGAACGGAATTGGCGCTTTGTCGTGTTACTGTCTCTATTTTCTTCAATAAATGAAGAAATTTCCTGGTTGTCTAACTGTTTTTCTCCGTTCGATTCATCAAATAAACCTGGATCCATATTTGCGAGCCATTCCGAATCTTCGTCGGCGGAAATATGATTCAAATTGTCCGCCATTTTTGTTTTAGTAACTTCAATCCAGTTCTTTGCTTGCGCGATGCGAGAAAACCTGTCTAACCGGTTCTCTGGAGTACAAATACCGCATGATATTTGTACTCGTCTATGGCGTTATTTGTACTCTACGGAGTGTAGTTGGATAATAAAAATAACAATTGAAAAAGAGCAGTAAGAGAGAAAATAAACCAGACTTTATAGCTAATGAAGTAATACTTAGTAAGACAGATAATTGAATTTCGATTCAACTGACTTCTCGATAAACGATCTATCTGTTTAAAAAAGTTTTTTTTTATCTTGTGATTTTTTATAGTTCACTAAAGTACAAACTCTGACTACCAACGCTAACTCTATGCTTCAAACCAAGAAAGGTCTGTTTCCGGTTCAGTATACGGGATCGGATGGACAGCTGAAGGAAGATGTGCTTTGGATCACGGAGATGGAGAGGTAATCTTTACGGCCACTATATAGAAATGAAATCTTTTTGTTTCTTTTATCCTGCGGGGTGGAGTGCTCAACCGAAGTGTGCCTTGCTTCAAACGCTAATCGTTCGCTCACTGGTGTACATGTGCATGCATTGTACTGCGAGAAGTGTCGTCAAGAGAACATGGTGCACCTTGTTGTCTTGGAAAACCAAAACCAAAACAATAGCTATAGCCTTTCAGAACAATGGTAAATATTGCCATCAGCCAAGGACAACTCAAGGTAAGAAAAGCAAACTGCACTAAGCCCGTGTCGAAATCACTCTCAATGTTGTAGTGAATTCTTGTTATTTTGTTGATTCACGCAGTTTTTCGATGGTTTTTGTCAATGGTTATGAGTGGTTGACCTTGAGAATTTTCTAATGTTGACCTTGCACGGACTTGCTGTTACTGGAACACCTGTAGGCGTATTTATATATATAGCACAAGTGGTAATGACTTCCTCTCCAAACCAAAATAACGCGCCAGGCCTCGTGATTTGTTTTGTCTAGTCCAAAAGTGCACTTGAATACGAGTTTAGGCTTAGCTGTGTTGAAAATAATCAGGAATTTGATGACACTTCCCTTACCCGGGTAATAACACCACACCATTCACTGTTACCCCTCGGCTAGCCCTCATTGGTTTTTCATTAAGCTACACCTGAGCCCCAGGGAACAATGCGGCCGAGTTCCTTCCAGCTCTTATAACATTTTCATTTCTTATAACATAGTATTTCCGCGGCTCATGGTTGGGATTATAGACCATCGTAGGTTTCCTCATTGCTAGCCATGTAAACTCTTGAATGGAGAGAGACACTGTGTAGTTAATACGCACAATGACCTGGCTCAAGGCCCTTCGGATTCAGAGTTTAGCACGCTGACCAGTAGAACTCTGCGTAATCCACGTATTAAAAGCTGCATTGAAAGAGTAATATTACTGTGCTTTCCATCTTGCCTTCAGGTTGTTTGGTTTACCATCGCATTACACAGACGTCAGTAACATGGGGCGCTCACAGAGACAGCGGCTGCTAGGGAAGTCTTGGAGTGTTCCTGTAATAAGGCATCTTCTATCCCCTCTAAAGGATTACTTTAAATGTGAAGCATAAATCAAATCGGCTTGCATAACCGATGGATAACTATGCGTTCCTTCTGCGTACGCAGCTAGTTGTGTCCGATGATAAAAACGACTGTTTTTTCAAGTAGGTATCATATATAATCTAGGTAGCCTTTTTTCTCTCGTTTATTCAACTTATTATCATGTTCTCAGAATAGTAGTTGTTAATATTGCGATTTAGTTTTTTTCATATACAAAACCCCACGTTCCAGTTTTTTTCTGTCTGCAAGGAAACGAACAGAAGCAAAACACAAACATGAGCGTCTTTTTTAATTGGATGTTTTAGGTAATCCTCGTAAATTTTCAGAATACGAAGCGGAATCCTTTATCTTTGCCTCTGACGGACAGTTTCGCCAATGGTCAGCTCGACTTCTGGTGTGTTAGGGCGATCTCTACCTCGTTAGACCATAATCTTCACGTTCCGTTTTGATTAAGTTGACTCTGCCTCTTTTATTAGGGTTTCTGTTTTATGGGGAAGATGTTGCGAGGCGTATTATATTCTTCTGGGGTGATTGGCTAAAGGAACTTTTTTCCTTTTCTTTTTGATAGGAAGGGGAAATTAATAAAAATGTCCTTTGTACTTAGTGTCCGTTTCTTGTTGCTCCTCTCGGGTTTTTCTCGAGTTTATTGTTAAGCAGGGATCGAAAGCGTTAAAAGGTATTTATCTGGGCCACATTCCCCTTTTCTACCTCTGACATTCACACATGATGTTTGTTTTTATCG